GTCCTCTTACTTGTAAGTGTGGCGGTTAGTTTTTGTCATCTTGATGCAAACTAAAGTAGCCCGGGGAGAGAGCAACTTCAGTTGATGAGCTGTCTTCATCAGATGGGGCTGTGGGCCGGTCAGGAGGGTATTTTCTTGGTTGATGGTTGATGTGGGAGGGCCCAGCCCACTGTGGGCAGGGCAAGTGGTCCTTTGTATAACAAGTCAGAGCAAACCATGGAAGGGCCAGCAGGTTGAGTCCATGGCCTCTACTGCAGTTCCTGCCCTTACTTTCCTCCACACTCTATTGTGATGTGGGATGTAAGCCAAATAACTCCTTTTCTCCCCGAAAATTGCTCTTAGCCATGGTGTTTCATCACAACCATAGAAGTCAAAGCAGGCCACACAGCAAATACTTTACCTGCTGAGCCATCTTCCAAGTCCCACAATAATCCCCCCTCCCCCATTAACCATCAACCAAGAAAATTCCCCACAGACTTGTCCACGGGCTGATCTTACCAAGACACTTTCTCAACTGCCGGTTCCCTCTCCTCAGATGCTGCTAGCTTGTATCAAGTTGACAAAAATCAACTGTGCAACACCCAACTCAGAATCACTGTCAGGCATCACACCTGTAATTTATTTATTTATTTATTTTTGAGACAGGGTTTCTCTGTATTGCTTTGGAGGCTGTCCTGGAACTGGCTCTGTAGACCAGGCTGGCCTTGAACTCACAGAGATCTGCCTGCCTCTGCCTCCCCAGTGCTGGGATTATACATCTGCAATTTAAATACTCTCTGGTGTCGCCACACCATCTTGAGTTGACAATTTCAGCTGGGTTCACTGTCATTCCAAATGCTGTCCCTTTTCTGTGTTCCTAGTCCTATCCTTGGTGATATCATCTGCCCAGTGATCCAAATCTGTAACATTATGGGTCAAAAAAGAAGGAATTCCTGTTCATTCAGTAAGAAGACTTAGGAGGTGTAGCCTTGTTGGAGGAGATATGTGGTGTGTGTGTGTGTGTGTGTGTGTGTGTGTGTCAGCCTTGAGGTTTCAAAAGCCCATGCCAGGCCCAGTTTCCCTACTCCCCCTTGTGGATCATGGTGTAAAGGTCATCCTGTAAGACCTTGGAGAGGGTTCTGCCTCATTGCTAAACTAGACAGTTATTTCATTTTAATACTCCCTGAACACCGCATAATTAAATCCTGTAAGCTTGATTTAATCCTGCTACATATATTTGTTGTTCTTTTAAAATCATTTAAAAATTTTTGTGTACATGTGTAGGCACACATGTGGAGGTCTGAGAACAACTTGGGGGCATGAGGAGATCAAAAGACAACTCGGGGAGGTCTGGTCTCTTCTTCCACCAGGTGGGTCCTAGGGGTTGAACTCAGGTCCTCAGGCTGGGTAGCAAGTGGTGTTTTAAGTAACTGTTCTGTGGTGAGGAAACACCCAGGCAACATACAGAAGAAAGAATTTAATTGGGGCCTTACTTGCAATTTTAGAAGGTTAGTCCATTACATCATGGCAGGAAGCAGGTAGGCATAGTGCTGGAGCAGTAGCTAAGAGCTTTACATCCTCATCCACAAGGGGAGGGGGGAGGAGAGAGGGAGAGAGAGACTAGGCCTAGCATGGGCTTTTAAAACGTCAAAGTTGACTCCCCAGTGACACACCTCCAGCAAGGCCACACCTCCAGAATCTTCTACAAGCAGTACACTAACTAGGGACTAGATATACAAATACATGAGCCTGTGATTCTCATTTAAATCACTGCACGAGAATAACCTCCATAGCCTCAGACCTCCCAATGCTTGGTCCCCAGTTGGTGGCACTGTTTGGAAAGGTTTGGGAGGCACGTGCTCATTGGAGCCTGTCACTGGAGGTGGACTTGAGTGTGGAGACTATCATTCTCAGTCTTGTGTTTGCTGTCTAAGATGTGAGCTCTCATAGGGTGGCATTGGTGGTGCACGCCTTTAATCCCAGCACTTGGGAGGCAGAATCAGGCAATCTCTGTGAGTTCAAGACCAGCCTGGTTTACCAAGTGAGTTCTGGGACAGCTAGGACTGTTTCACAGCACCCTCCACCCCCATTCTGGACCGTAAGCCCAAACAAACTCTTCTATTTACCCTGGTTGTGTTGTTTTACCACTGTAATACCTGCTGAGACATCTTGCTGGATGGTCCTACACTGTTATTTTTATATCTTATTCTTTGAGTACAATATTCTAGCCTCTTGCTTTATTTCAGTGACCACTGCAATGAATTATTGTCTTTCTTTTGATTTGTTTAATATATTCCAACATATGTGAGATAAAAAAGTAAAATATAACACAACTTGGAGAAATGTATTTTATTTGAATTTATTCTAAACGTAAGAACTCTTAAATCTTTGGATCACAGACCATTATGAAGAACTATTATCAAAATTATAATTTTCCTCTGGGCCTGCTAGGAGCTGACAAACCAAGAAACTCTATCTTTTTATTTTTATTAAATTAACTTGTTTTAGGCTTATTTATTTTTATATGCATGGATATTTTGTCTGTGAGCATGTACGTATGCCATGGGCATGCATGCAGTGCCCAAGGAGGCCAGAGGACAGTGTTAGATTCCCGGAACTGGAGTTGCAGACACCTATGAGCTACCAGCTGGTTATTAAACCTGGGCAGATTAAACTCTGGAAGAGCAGCCAGTGCTAATATTTTAAACATATATTTTTATACTTTAGAAACAATTTCAATTTCAGTCCTGTGGAAAGTGGCAAGCACAGGAAAAAGTTTGGGTTTTTGTTTATTTAGTTTTTCTGGAATCATCTGAAAGTCAATTTGTGACTTAATGTCACCTTACACTCAAATACTTCTCACTGTGTTTTCTACAAACAAAACACTTTTTGGCACAAGCACAGTTAACGTGTAACCTGTAGATTTTTCTTCTTTCAGATTTTGCTGGCCATTCCCTTAATGGCCTTTATGTCAGGTACAGGTCCATCATCTTTTGTTGACTTTCATAGCCACTTGAAGAATCCAGGCTGGGTGCTTTGTAGGATGAACCTTGATTTGGTTGGTCTGGTGCCCCCACCAGGTGAGAATGAGGTAATGCAACTTGGGCAGACAATAGAACTGATGTTGTGACCTTATGATTCTATCTTAGCAGTATTTTATTTTCTTAATGCGTGTCTGTGCATGTGTGTGTGTGTGTGTGTTCATGTGAGAGTGTAGGCACATGCCACGGGTGTGTGGAAGTCAGAGGATACCCTCCCACCTTGACGGAGACAATGTCTCTTCTTCACTGGAAACATCAGGTTAAAGAGCTGAAAGCTTCAGGGGACTCTGTCTCTGTCTCCCATGCATTGTACAGAGGGTGGGATGGAAGCTGGGCTACTGCTCCCTCTTTACGTAGGGGACTTGACCTCAAGCCCTCACCCTTGCTTGACTCATGGAGCCACCTTGCAAACCTGCGTTCTATTATAATAATGTTGTTGCTCATTTAATTACCACGAAGTTTCACAGAATTTTCCATTGTAAATTTACTTTTTTTTCTATTTGTAATTAATGAGCACTTGGGCAGAAAAAAATTTTGTTTTGTTTTGTTTTTTTGAGACAGGGTTTCTCTGTGTAGCTTTGGAGTCTGTACTGGCACTCGCTCTTTAGACCAGGCTGGCCTCGAACTCACGGAGATCCTCCTGCCTCTGCCTCCTGAGTGCTGGGATTAAAGGCGTGAGCCACCAACACCCAGTCCAGAAAATATTTTTAAATATGTAAATAACTTATTCTTTATTCACTTACACATTTCTGTATTTCATTTCTGTTCTGTTTTACAGCTTACATGTTTTCAACATTTGTTACTTATTTTGATGCCCAGGTAGTCTCAGTTCAGCTCACAGGAAATTACTCAAGTTCCTGAGGTAACCTCTCCAGCCTTTAAGTTCCTCCTTATTTCTGGCTCTAGGGAATCAGCTTCCTCCATTGGTAGAGTTTGAGTCATTTCAAAAGGATCCCTGGCTCCTTCTTGTACAGAATGATCCTGAGAAGCAGGGATCTGGGCACTATGTGTATTTGTTATCATAGTATCTTTGCCAACAGTGAAGAGAGCCAGAACACACGCACGCACATGCACTTTGGCTGGGGCTATATCTCAGATAGTGTTTGCCCAGCATGCACCAGGCCAGGCACTGGGTTCCAGCTCCAGCACCACAAATGCCAGGTGTCCTGGTGCATGCTGGTACTTTCATCAGCTAGGCAAGAGGATCAATCAGCACTTCAAGGGTGTCCTCTGATACAAGGCAACTTTAGTTTCTAGTGTTTTGGAGACGTCTGGGCTATCTGAGATTTTCTATCCAAAAAGAATATATATATGGTATGTTCAAGTCTATATATTCACCAGGACCAAAAGCAACTTTGGGAGGAAAGGCTTTGTTTCATCTTAAGCTTCCAGGTAAGTGAGGCATTCCGGAACCCCTTTAGTTCCAAGCAAACTTGATGGTTTCTACCCAGATCCCATCGTGCACAGTTGCCACCAATCAGATATTTACATTTATGTTAAGTAAAATAGAAGCGCCGGGCGGTGGTGGCGCAGGCCTTTAATCCCAGCACTGGGGAGGCAGAGGCAGGCGGATCTCTGTGAGTTCGAAGTCTACAGAGCGAGTTCCAGGACAGAGAGAAACCCAATCTCAAAAAACCAACCAACCAACCAACCAACCAAAAAACAAACAAACAAACAAACAAAAAAAAAACACCTGCCCAAACCCACCTGTCTACTGGGTGTTTATTTGGCAGCTCACTCGACAGTCACCTCCCTGTCGGAGGTCGCGGTGCAATGACCGGACCAAACTACTCAGGCTTGGCTTCTAGAAAGAACGCAGGGAAACGCAGGGTCAGGAGCGCGCTAGAGAGAGTCCATAGATGCCCTGGAGACCCTGCAGCTCATCAGATGGCCCAGCCGGGCGAGCAGGCTCACGCGCGCCTCCGGCGGCAGGTGGGCGGGGCCGTGACGCACGCACCTCGTGACTCCACTCGCGGCCTGCGCCGGTCGAAGCCGGAAGCGGAGGCTGTCGGAGGAACCCGGTGAGCGATCTGGTGCTGGCCCGCCCGGGGATGGCTCGGGACGAGGAGCTGGAGCGGCGCTGCGGGTGGCCATCGCGGTGGCTGCGGGCGCTGCTGCTGCTGCAGCTGCTGCGGTGGCGGTACGCCTTGGGCGAGCTCCATTTCAGCAGCCGTCGGCACCCGGGCTTTGCGGACCTCTTGTCGGAGCAGCAGCTGCTGGAGGTGCAGGACTTGACCCTGTCACTGCTGCAGGGCGAAGGTCTGGGGCCGCTGTCCCTGCTACCCCCCGACCTGCCGGATCTGGAGCCCGAATGCCGAGAGATGCTGATGGACTTTGCCAATAGCAGCGCCGAGCTGACCGGGTGTCTGGTGCGCAGCGCTCGGCCCGTGCGCCTCTGCCAGACCTGCTACCCGCTTTTCCAACAGGTTGCTAGCAAGATGGACAACATCAGCCGAAAAGTCGGGGTGGGTACTGAAGCAGCCCCGGCACCTGTGGCATGGGGCTGGGAAAGTAAGGAAAAGGGATTGGATTGTCTGTAGAGTTGGGGTGTCAAAAGCAGGAGGGTAAGCGTTAGGGACCTGGGGTTTAGAATGCTGCCTTCCTCGATTCTGTAAGCCGGCATCTTCTTGGGACTGATTTGTAGTTACATATGAATGGCTTTCTTGTGGGGGGAATGGTGTTCCAACACTCCTACTCTTACCTTACTTTTCAGCCATCTCCTTCCCCATGTCAAGTCTTAGTTCCAGGAAAGGGCCCTTTCGAAACCGTTAGTTATTAGAAGCTTGAGCATTGCAGCGGACATACCCAGGGCCACCAATTTCGAGCAGTGTGACCATGATTATTTTTCAAAACATCATTTCCTTCCATATAAAATGCTACCAAAAAAATCCCAGTTGCTTCATGTTGCGGTGTGGGAGTCGTCTTTCTAAGACAATCTGGAGCCTGCTGGCGAGGAGTCCAGCCCACTGTTTATTAGCTTGTACTCTGAGCAAGGTAGTGACACTCTCTGCTTGTTTTCTCATCCGTAAAGTGGGGATAAAGGGAACCACAGGAAGCTGGCACGTGGTAATAGCTCGTGGTCAGTGGAGGCTGAAATTTTAGGACACGATCGGTCTACCTTCTCTTCTTGATATCTGGAGAGCTTTTCTGGTTCCTTGGAAGGTAATGTGACGACTTCATGAAGGCGAACAGGAAGGGGGAAGGCACAGTTTTTGCCTCTAAGTTCTGTAAACTCTAGGAAAAGATTAGACTGTCAGCCCAAGGAGAGTCACAGGGTTGCCTGGTAAAGGAAAACCAGGAATGACACCAGATTGGGAGGTGGAAAAGTTCCTTTTGTACTGAGGGGCCCAGCTGTCTCATGAAAATGTGGTTTTGGTTGCTTTATAAGTCGAAATTGATTTGACTGGTTATAAATTTGTCCATAGCTTCATCTTGTTTTAAACCAGCCTAATATTCCTTCGCAGATTCTGTTATTTTTGTAAGTGTGTTCATTTGCATTAAGTAAATTCCAGAGTCAGTCTTTGTGGAAAGAGCTAGCTTCCCGGGCAGTTTAAACAGGTTTGGACGATGTATTTCCCAGGCTCCCTTCTGTCTCTGACTTTAAAGTCACTGCCCTCTGCAGCATTACATTTGGTTTTGATCAGTTTCATTAAATAAATTGTCTTTAGGTTCCCTTTCCATTCTATTTTAATTTAATTTATTGGTGATGAAACTTCACGCCCCCCTAACTGGCCTTGAACTTATCATGTGGCCCAGGATGACCTTGAACTCTTGACCCCCTGCTTTCGCCTCCCAGGTGCTGAACGCTGTATGCAGTGCAGGGGCTCGAACCCATGCCTTGTCCATGCTTGGCAAGCTGTCTACAACTGAGCCCAACCCCTGATTTATTTTTAAACGGTTGGCATCTCTCCTGTGGTTTGTCCACCCCCAGCCCCGTTCCGCATCTCCGCCTGTTCCCTCCCACCATTTATAGCCACCAAGCACTCCGAGTGTACCCTCTTCCACTCTGTCACTGTGTTCATTACCCGCTCCCTCCCTGCAGCTTCCTTTGTAACTGTTCTTGTGGCCTCTTTTCTGCTTTCCTGGCCCCTACTCAACACTCACTCCACATTGGCACACATATGCTAACATGAAAGGCTGGCCGAGAACATACGGTATGCCTTCTTGCACCTAGGTTACCTCAATTAAGATCCAATTTTCCAGTTTCATCAATTTTCCTGCAAATCCCATAACTTCCAGTTGCTTTTTTTGTCTTAAATAACAAGACCTCCTGTTGGCACAGTGCCCTTGAATCATGACACTAACCTTGGGTCTCTGAGGCTGCAGAAGTTTTCCTTATGTACGTAGGTGCTGTGGAGTTAGGAGGTTTTAAAAAGAATACAAATGATCCCGAGCTCTAGTAATTAGAATTATGGGCATCACCCAGTAGATGTGTGAACGAACTGCACAGTGCCCAGCTGAAGAGTTCCAGGATGGGTTGTGGAAGCTTCCTTCACCCTCCTGCCCCCAGGTAATGTGGAAACCCGGATCTCCTCCCCCTAGTGTGAAGAAAGAGTGGTCACCAGAGGTGGGAAAGCTTCCCCAGTCTGCAGTTCACCTGATGGCTGTCTGTCTGTACATACTCTCCAGTTCACCTGATGGCCATCTGTCTGTACATACTCTCCAGTTCACCTGATGGCCGTCTGTCTGCAATACTCTCTTTCTAGTTCACCTGATGGCCGTCTGTCTGCACATACTCCCCAGTTCACCTGGCTGTCCGTCTGTCTGCACATACTCTCTTTCCAGTTCACCTGGATGGTCGTTCAGTCTGCAATTCTCTGCAGTTCACCTAAATGATTGTCTTTGTCCGCTGCTTTGCGGTCGACTAGCTCAGAGGTCTGGTTCTTGCAGTGTACTGCAGGACTTAATGGGTTTCTGGGAAGTAGATTGGGAGTTGAAGTCTGTGTCCTATCAGGAAATGTGTGTTTAAAGAAACAGCAAGTGTGAGGACTCTGTGATGGGCGCGTTTGTTGTATTGGAGGCTGGGAAGAATTGAGCAGGTCAGTGAGGTGGCCTGTGACCCAAGTCTGCACTGGGCAGGAGCTAGGGACTGTGGGCTTAGTAGGGGAATGCCATGGATTGTAGAGTCTGAAACCAGTATGTGTGTTAGAAGGTTTTAATTCTGTAGAACATGGTGATCCTGTTTGTCTTTGTGTGTGTGCGCGCATGTGTGAACATGTGTGTGCAGGTCCCCACAGAGGCCAGAGGAGGGTGTTGGATCCCCATAGCTGCAGTTGTGAGCTGCCTGATTGGGGTAGGGAGTGGAATTCAGGTTCTTTGCAAGAGTAGCAAGTGCTCAACCTCTGAGCAGCCTCTCCAGCCCTATATTTGTCTTTGGAAAGATCCCTTTGTCATGTCCTTTCCACCCTCCTGTTGCCTTCATCTCTTCCTCATACCCACAGTACAGAAAGAGCCTACTTAGTCTTCCTGCCACCCCCTCCCTCTAAATATCATACCTGGAAGTATGTTCCCAGACTGCTTTTTGTAGCACCCTTTCCAAAAATCTTCAAGAACTTTCTACAGTCAAGAAAAAAAAAAGAAAGAAAAAGTGAAATTATTTTTCTAAAATTTTTTAAACACTTTTATGTGTGCGGGTATTTGGCCTGAGTGTATGTCTGTGTACCACTGCAAGTGCCTGGTCCTATGGAGAGCAGAAGGCACCAGATCTCCCAGAACTGGAGTGACTGAAGACTGTGAGCCACCATGTGGGTGCTGGAAATTGAACCCAAGTCATCTGAAAGAGCAACCAGTGCTCTCAGTTGCTAAGCCTCTCTCCAGCCCCAAGAAAGTATTATTCATTCGTCCGACTCTTAAGGACTTTTCACAGCCTTGTTCTAGCACATCCGTAAAGACGCTGTGTCCAGAGCGTACCTGCTGCTACCAGCAGTGCCCACGCCTGACCCGTAATCATTTCAGTCTGAATTAGAGTTCCCTTTCCTTTCCCAGTGCAGACTCAGTTCAAATCCTGGTTTCTCTGTGATCTCTTTCCAAGTGTCCCCAATTCATGTGTTCCTCAACTGAACTGTTCCACACCGGGTAATATTGCAGTGATTTAAAAAAAAAAACTGCATCTATCAGAGCTGGAAAGATGTGGAAAGATGACTCAGAGTTTAAGAGCATGGCTGTTCTCCCAGAGATCCTGGGTTCAATTCCCAGCAACCACATGGTGGCTCAGAACCATCTGTAATTAGTTCTGATGCCCTCTTCTGGTGTGCAGACATAAATGCGGGCAGAGCACTATATACATAATAAATACATACATCTTTTAAAAAAAACTCTATCTATCTGTCTGTCTATCTATTATCCATCCATCCATCCATCCATCCATCTAGTGTGTGGATCCTCATGCCATGGGATGTATGTGGGGGGCAGAGGACAACTTGTGTGAATCAGTTCTGTCTTTTCACCATGAAGTTTAGGGACTGAATTCTGGGTATTAGGCTCAATGGCAACTGCCTTTATCCATGAAGCCATCTTATCTATCCCATAGTGATTTTTAAGCATCCAGTCAGCTATATATGAAGATACACTTTGAATGCCTACAGCATGGACTACCTCCCGAGAGCACTTGGGGTTGCACCATCGTAGCTAGGTGAAATTCTGTGTGCCAGGCATTGTGCTCCGTGATGAATATATGTTGCTTCATTTAATATAGGAAGCATAGACCCATGGTTATGAAATTGAGCTCCAGAGGAGTTAGGTCCCTGGCTGAGCCCCAGTGAAGAATCAATAAGTGAGACAAACATAGTGGTGTATGCTTGTAGTACCAGGACGGGAGGGTGAGCCAAGAGGATCACAAGTTTGAGGTTAGCCTGGGGCTGCATAGCAGGACCCTGTCTCTAAAGGAAAAAGGAAGAAAGAAAAGATTGCAAGGTTGAAAATGTACTCAGGGTTTGAGTGCTGGCCAAGCACATGTAGTTCCCAGAACCTCGCAAATTAATGAAAGAATGAGGAAGGGTTGGCCAGATGACTTAGTGGGTAAGACTGCTTGCTGTAAAGGTGGTAGTTTGATTCCTCAGCACCCATTTGAAAAGACAGACATGATTGCATGCAGCTGTAACCCTGGTGACATGGCTACTGTCCACTAGCCTAAACCTAGTTCCAGGGTTAGGGAGAGACCCTGTCTCAAGGGAGTAAGGCAGAGGGAGGCGGAGCAGGACACCTGATGGCCGATGGCCTCTAGCCTCTGCAGGCTTCTACCTGTGCACAGGCAACTGCACATAAAACTCACACATGCGCGCGCACACAGACCACACCACACATATTATAAATAAATGTTAAAAAATAAAGGTAGCAAATAAAAGCAAGCGCTCTCTTGGGTGCATCTCTTCAGAGAGATATACAGGGAGGGTGAGCGTCCCCAAATGAATGGCAGTGGCTTCCTTATTGCTGCCCACGGCCGGTCAGCTCTGTCCCTGGTGCTCTTTCACCCCATGGAGTCACTCCCTGTCTGTTTATCGGCAGGTTTTTGAAGCACAGTGTGACAGCTTTCTCTGACACTTCCATGTCCTCAGAGTTCCAGCGTTCTTGTAGTGCCTGCAAACAGTAGGAGTTAAGTCGCTTTGAAATGAGGAAAGGGCCAAGACTCAGTGCCCAGCTGAGGCAACAGAGATAAGAAATAGTTGAGGTTCAAGATGTTAGGATCCAGGTTTATTATTTGCATAGCACAAGTTTCTTTCATGTTAAATTGTCCCTGGAAGACATGTTTTTCTATTCAAGTACAAACTCGGATATTATATGAATGGATTACTGGATTTTCTTGCAGAATGCTGTCTTTGTATCAAAAAAGTTAACTGAAAAGCAAAGCTAAAGGATTTGTGAACACTTACACACACGTTAAAAATACTACATGAGCCGGGCGTTGGTGGCGCACGCCTTTAATCCCAGCCCTCGGGAGGCAGAGGCAGGCGGATCTCTGTGAGTTCGAGGCCAGCCTGGTCTACAAAGTGAGTTCCAAGACAGCCTCCAAAGCCACAGAGAAACCCTGTCTCAAAAAACCAAAAAAAAAAAAATACTACATGAATAACTGTAGAAAATTTACTGTAGAAAAAGTTTAGGCATTTGAAGAGAAGCAAAAGTGAAAATAAAATTTGCCATGCTCCATCATCCAGAGACAACCATTGCTGCACTCTGTTTATCACATTCTGCAATCTCCCCATGCATACGGGATTGTGAAATTAAGAAGTTGAACTTGACTACAGAAGCAATATTCAGGATGTGAAAATGGGCCTGGGTGGGGGGCCAGCTCAGCCATTAAGCAAAGAGTTTTTCCCTTCCCACTTGAACCTGGTAACAATAAATGTTAGATAGAAATTGCCTTCCTACCATTTTTATTATTACTGCTGTTATTATCAGGTCGTATCAGAGAAAATCTTAAATGGTGTATAATAAGTATTTTAATTGCTCCATGGCTTGGGGGGTTGTTGGAAAGTCTAAACACTTAGATTATTTCTCCCGTTGTTCTTTTGTTGTTGCAGAATTCCTCAGAGAGCCTGAACTGTGCCAGAAGTCTCCTGATGGCAGACAGGATGCAAATAGTTGTGATGGTCTCAGAGTTTTTCAACACCACGTGGCAGGAGGCGAACTGTGCGAGTGAGTGAGGGCACCGTGCTCATGGTGCGGTAACAAATGTCAGACTTGATCTCATGAACTTTAGGAGAGCTGAAACCAGGCACCGTATCTGCCACTAAGTTTGAGGGAGCTGTCCCTGGCGTCGTGGTGTACTAGTCATTGCTACCTGTGTGAGTCCCGGCAGTCAGGAGAGTGTAGCAGATCACTGAGCTCTGAGGTCAGACAGGCAGGTTTGGGACAGTTAACTCGGTCTTAGGAACTCTAGTTTCTTCATCTCTAAGTTGGAGAAAATAGAACCTATATTAAGTGTTTAACATAATAATTATGATATTTATAATAATCTCCCCAGCAAGGGAGAGAGATGTAGGGAGGGGGAGCAAGAGGGAGAGAGGGAGGTGGGGAGAGAATTATGAGAGACAGGGAGGGAGCGAGAACATCTGTTCTGCCAGCTTTGCAAGCTCCTGTGTTTCTGTGTAATTAAGTGACCTGTTTGAAGTGTTATTTGCAGAAACTTAAACCATTATTTCAACTTAGGCATGCCTCGAATACCAACTATGCCCTATGCCTTACTGCCCACTGTGGGAGAAAGACATAGTCACAAATATAACTTAGAACAGAAAAGGAAATACTTTCTTAAAAAGGAGAATCATCCGGGAGCACGCTGTGAGCTGAGACTTCGTGGCTGGGTGTGGTTTTACCTGGTGGAGTTGAGGTAAAAGACACGGAGAGGCGCCGTGGGCAGAGGCACAGAGTAGAAGGGAAGTTAGCCTCTGGGGTCCTGGAAACCACAGGGAGATGAAGTCAGACAGGGAAGGTAGGACTTTCATGAATACAGTAGTTTATCACATGACCCAACATTTCCACTCTTTGAATGCCAGCATTCCAATGTGGGCATTAGCAATACATGTACAATATCAAAGGCAGCAACAAGCAGCAAGTGTTCTAGTCACTTCTCATTGCTGTGACAAAAGGCCTGACAGGAACAAGTGGTGACCAGGATGGTCTGTTTTAGCTTCTGCTTGCAGTCCATCATGGAGGACGAAGAGTGGGAGGATGGCTTTGTCCCTGGAACGAGAATGTAGGGTGTCAGGCCAGTCATCACTGTAAGGTCTCGGAGTTGGCAGAGAACACACCAGACTCCAAGTCCTCAGCACCAAGGAGATTTACTGCCTAGAAGATGGGATGGGTGGGGCGGTGCTGCCTCTGGAGGGGATGAAGGCAGACAGCAGGGGTTTCTGCAGGAGTGGTCTTCAAGGAGAAAAGGGGGGAAGTCTGCTAGGCTGAGTTGTTAAGCCCCAGCTGGACAGGTTATTCAGTTTAGGCAAATAATGAATTTTAGTAGCTGGACCTTGGAGTTTTAGTCAGGCATAAGAAGTATCTAATAGAAGAATAGACCTGGGGGCCAGCTTTAGGAATGCAGCGGTTTAGCAAGGGAGAAGGAAGGGGAAGGCGAACCTGCCTGTGCTACATTTGCAATGCCCATTGGACAGCCCTTCAATCACGAGATTGCAGACAGGCAGCAGAGAACTGTTCTGGAACCAAGGAACCAGGTCCACCTATAACCTTCAAAGGCCAGCCCTAATTCTACTATCTGGGCCCACCCCTTAAGTGTTCCATGGCCCCCAAACTTCACTTTTTTTTTTTAGTGGAAATTCCTCCTGTAAATATGATTGAAGCACATTTTTGAAACAGAAAAATATTTTTAAGCAATAGACAATAGCCAAGGAACAAGTGTTCGCATGAGCTTAAAGAGAACCTTTTAGATTCAAACCTATAGTAGCAGGTTAAATTTTTTTCTTTTGAGATAAGTTTTCTTATATAGCCTCCACTAGCCTGGAATTCACTATATAGATCAGGCTGGCATCTGTCTCTCAAGTTCATGGCTTTAGACTGTATGCCACATGAATTTAATTTCTGTTCTGAACTCTCTAGAACACTTAGAAGCTTCCAGAATGTCCAGATTATGCCACTTCTGTGTTAGATGCAGTCAGAGGAACTAAATAATCTCTTTTCCAGGATTGTGCATTAAAACCTGATTTCCCATTCATTGTTTTAAGCCTATTTTAAGATGTTTCCCAATTTCTAGTCAGACTTTTAAACAGGATTGCAGTAGCTTTAAGAAACTGGAATCAATAAACTTCATTCTCTTTTTGGTTTTATTCAATAGTAGCATTCTTTTTTCCTCTTTGTTGTTTGTTCCCAGATTAATTCCTTCTATTTTTTTCACCGTTTTCTATTTCCTTGGTGGTTGGCATCCTGTATATCGTTTTAAACAGACCCTTTGCCAAGTGTGTAAGCACTTCTAAATATGCTCTCTGCACACCTACCTCATGAAGATAACAGGAAAGTTATCTGAAAAAACTTCTAAAGGTTTATTTCAAAACTTTAAAGATATTTATAGTGGTTGCGGTTTAGTGCTTGTGGGAGGCCCTGAGTTTGGTCTCCAGGAGAACAAACTCTTTTATCATAACACCACAAAGGATCTTGATTGTCTTACAAGGTCTAGTGAGAGACTGGAATCTGAATCAAGGGAAATGTGGGTTTGAGCAGGGATATAAAATGTCTCAGTTACACTCTAGCCCTATTTCCCAGGTGATCTTTCCAGAGGCCTGTGTGGGAATGAGGTGAGAACATCCATGAACTACAGGTGAAGAGTCTGAAATAGACGGGGGAGGGGTTGCAATTGTTCATTTTGGTTCTTCTGGATAGGATGGATGTATATATGCTGGAAACAAAATGTTATTACTAAAGAGCCCAAAAGTCAAAATGTTAAACATGTATAAAGTAAAAGCTACAATAAGTTACTTAGTTAAACCTTAACTACTTTGCATTTTGAAACAGGAGTCAGTTCTCTCCATCCGTCATGTGGGTCCCTGGGAATCCAACCCAGGTCATCAGACTTGGTGGCAGGCACCTTTATCCTCTAAAGCCATGTCGACAGTCCCTGGAAATGTACTCCTTCTTCATAGGCAACCTGTAATTAGTGTCCTGGGTGGTATTTTATGGGCGTGACGAAACCACTGAAGCACTGTGAGATCCTGGAGTGCTTTCTGATTCATCAAAGGAAAACTAGCTTTCATTGTGCATGCAACTTCAGCATTCGTGACTGAAAACTCAGCAGTGAAACCTGCTACTGGATCGGAGGGTCAGGCAGGCAGAGTCCTTCTTTGTGCTATCTGTGTGGAAACACACTTCTTTGTATAATTTTAAATATAGTTTTCGTATTTTTAAGCTTAATTACAGCACTCTCAGTTTATTCTGCATTTTCTGAAGCCTGTTCAACTTTTCAGAAAATGGTGATCATTGTTGTCCATGAAATTATTTCTCTCCCTCCATCGTGTGAGCCCCTGCGAATCCAGCTCAGGTTATCAATCTCGGTGGCAGGCACCTTTTCCCTCTAAGCCATGTCACCAGCCCCCTCTAGGAGTGCCCTCTTTCTTCGTAGGCAACCTGTAACTGTCTGTAGTGAGCCAGGTGTCACAGTGTCTCAGGCTAGCCTTGGACCTGGGCTCACAAGCCTCCTAGCTCAGTTTGTGTTCCTCCTGCCTTAGTCACCCCAATGCTGGGCTTATAGGGACAGGCCAGCATAAAACCAGCATTTAAAATAGCAGGAAGTGCCTCGGGGGGTTAAGAACACTTGCTGCTCTTGCAGAGGACCCAGGTTCAGTTCCCAGGACCTATGTTTGTTTCCCAGCACCATAGTAGCTCACAGCCAACTGTAATTCCACAGAATCTGACACCTTCTAATCTCCTTGGGCACCAGACACACACATGTACATAATGCATACAGGCGAAACACTGATACACGTAACTAAATCTTGAAAACTGTTTCAAACTGTTAGAGATCATGAAGAGAGCTCCTAATCGATGACACATGCCTAACGAGTAGTCTTGGTGGTGCACACCTGTCATCCCAGCACTCAGGAAGCTGGGGCAGAGTGGCCGGCATGCAGACCCTGCCCTGGAAGTGCTCAGGACTATGGGTACAACTCAGTGACAGAGTGCTTGGCTAGCTGTGTAGGGGGACCAGGGTCAGTCCTCAGCCCTGGGGGTAGAAGATAAGCCACACAATTCTGTTATCGTAGTTTAGCCGGTTTCTGTGTGAGATCTTGACTGGAATCCTTAGTGCCCTGAAGAACGCCTCTTGAGCTGATGTCTGTGTCCTCACAGAGCCAGAAGCTGTGCTAATCTGACCCTTGATGAGGCTCCATTGATTATCTGAGATGAGGCAGGAGCACAATGGCCACTTCACTTAGTGCTCATGGAGAGCCTTGTCGTCACTCCCTTCTCTAGCTTACTAATTTCTGAACTGTACAGCCCCTTACTGTGTATAACCTTATGCTCCCATTCTCCCCAGTAGATAAAGGGGATTTACTCCAGTTCCTTGGTTTTGAATCAGAAAGTCAGGGGTCTCCTAATAATGAAGACATGTTTAACCCCTTGTATAAGTGAACTCCTTTGTGCTGTATAATACTACTGCCATCAGTTACTGGAAAACCCACACCGTGCCTGCATAGCACTTAATCAGATCATCAGTTCATATTAGCTTTTCATTTAATTTTCCAATTATTTTAAGTGGAAAGAAAATGGCCCTAAAGTAGAAGAGATTAAGCTCTTTGTTCCTCGGAGAGGTTTTTCTTTAGAAATCATTTTATAATGAAGTTATTTTTTTAAGATTTATTTGTTTGTTATGTATACAATGTTCTGCCTACATGTGTCCCCGCAGGCCAGAAGACGGCATCAGATCTCATTACAAATGGTTTTGAACTGCCCTGTGGTTGCTGGGAATTGAACTCAGGACCTCTGGGAGAGCAGCTAGTGCTCTTAACCTCTGAGCCACCTCTCCAGCCCTAAAGAAATGACTTGTTTGTGTATCTCACATAGAAGAAATTACCAGCGCTCTCAGAGCAGCACACTCTGGGCTGCTACATTGCACAGGGGCACACTCCTACCATGTTTGGCTGTGCATGCCAGGCATGACAAGACTCATTGTGACGTTGGCATCCACTTGCTGTGGGTGAAACTATGCTTCCAGAACTCCTGTGAGACACTAACCCCAAGCTGAAGACCTATGGCCTAACATTTGAATGTTCTCTGACTGTAATTGTGCTTATTTATGTCTATTCTACCTGGTCCCTAAAAGGAGCCAAGGCTCCTTCATGTTAATTAAATAGCATGGCAATGGAGCTTATATTATTACTTCAAAAAGACTGTAGTAAGCCTGGCCTGGTGGCCCATACCTTTAATCCCAGCACTCAGGAGGCAAGTAGATCTCTGAGTTCAAGGATAGCCTGGTCTACACAGTGAGTTCCAGGACAGCCCGGGCTACACAGAGAAACCTTGTCTCAAAAACCGCAATAGCGACAAAGGTTTTAGTACTTAGACTTTGTGGATGCTGACATATGGAATAACGAGGAGAAGCATCTGGCATCTGGGCCCGCACTGGCTTTTGTGTGAGCCTTGGCATATGCACCTTTCCCTGGCTTAGTGTGCTCATTGGTAAAGGGAACCGTTGATTTTCAGATGACTGATGAGCATCTAGAGCTAGACTTATAGTCTTGAGAAGATAGACTTCAGAGACTGAAGAGTCACAGGCTCAGCGAGGCCAGACATCTAGGACAGGCTCACCAGCAGGGCCCGCCCATGGTCACTGGTGCAGCAGGGCCCACCCAAGTGCATGTGGGGGTGTCTGTCTGTCTGTGAATCCACTGAATGCCAGCTGGCTTCTGGATTCAGGGGTGTCCTTCTATAGTTCCTCTAGTCATCTGAGCCCCTGCTCCCAATGTCTCTAAGCTTACAACAGAGAAGTTAAAGAGCTGGTGTCCTCCCCTGTTACCCAGGTTTGGGCTCCATCTTTTTGCTCAGGTGATGGTGACTTCTGGGATTCCTGGTGGTGTCAGGTTGTCAGGGTGTTGGAGGCGGAGCCATAGCAGGCAGTTGTTGACTCTTGAGTGTTGTTTGTTAATTGTTTAGAATGTAGATGTGCATGCCTGCATGTGTGTGTGTGTGTGTGTGTGTGTGTGTGTGTGCATTACCTTTCAGGGTCTGACAGTGATGACTCAACAGCCAGACTGATTGCAAAACACTTTTGTGTTTTTAATTTTTATTCCTTGTTTTTAATTTTTTATTTAAAAATGTTAACTATTTGCTAGGTGTGGTGACATGCATCTTTAACCCCAGCACTTAGGAGGCAGAAACAGATGTAGTTCTATAAATTTGTAGGCAAGCCTGGATTACATGCTAAATTCCAGGCAAGCAAATGCTACATAGTAAGACCCTGCCCCAAATTTTAAAAGAAAATATTTCTTAGGCGTTTTAAAATTTTTTATGTGTACAAGTGCTGTGTCTGCATGTATGTCTGTATACCACATATGTGTACATGAGGCCAGAGGAGGCCAGAAGAGAGCATGGGATCCTCTGCAAAGAGTTACAATGGTTGTGAACCACCACGTGGGTTCTGGGAACCAAACCCAGGTCCTCTGCAAGAGCCACAAATGCTCTTTACTGCTGGTCCATCTCTCTGACCCCAAATTTGTAAAGAGTTTCTGTATTTACTGTTTTGTGCTGTATGTGTACCACAGGGCATGCCTGGAGGTCACAGGCACCTGTGGAGGTCACAGGGCAACTCTCAGAACTCAGTTCTTGCGTCTACCATGGCTTCCAGGAATTCAACTCTGACGTCCAGGCTCGTGTGGTGAATGCTTTTGCCCTGCTGCTTATTTTAAAAATGGAGATTATAATTCTTGCCTCAGAGACTCACTACAGTAATGAAATGAGTCTCTATGTCATAGGTATAAGCACACGTACAACATGATATTCAGCAGCGTCAGCTTTTGGGATGTGACTCTTGTTGCATGTGAGCTGTCCTCTGTGGCTTGGCCTGGTATCTGTCCACTCAGTTCTCTTTACGTCGCCCCTCTTCCCCGTGTCACAGCCCGGTGGGTGTCTTCTAAGTCAAGTTGATGAGAGTTAAACTGTGTGTTGAAACTGAGAAGGCAGGGACGGGCCAGGCACTGGGGGTAGATCTCTGAAACACCCCTTTGGACTGGGCATCCACAAGGGTTGTTTCATGACCCTGAAATCAGAAAGTGATGAATTCGAATCAAGCCTTTTCAGTATAAGTTAGACATTTTTGCAGTCAGTTTTAAAAGCAGACGGCAGTGTTTGTGGGCCTGTGGATGGTAGAGAGTCGAGATCCAAGGAAGAGGGACAGAAACAGCCCTCTCCGGTTCTGGGATGGGAAGCCAGGCCGCTGAGCTCATGGGTAAGGCTGTTTGGCAGGCCTGACCGCCTGCAGTTGACCTTTAGGGCTCAATAGTGGAAGAAGAGAACCAAGTCCAGGAAGTTGTCTTTTAGCCACATGGCATGCACATCACATGAAACAAACAAATGTAATGAAAAACATTCTACATTTCATCTCTTCACAAGGAGTGGAGGGAATAGAAGACCCCAGTCATGCTAAGCAAGGCCAGTGGGCTGTGGGCAAACACCACAGATACAGGGCTTGCAAAAAACAAACAAACAAACAAAACAAAACAAAACATGCAAACAGTTCTATGTTGTCACTAACTGTTCACTGGAAGTCACTTCCTCCTTTGTTTTTGTAAGAAGAGAATGTGCAACTGTTTGAAGACTTTCATGAAAAGTTAAAAAACAAACAAGTTTGGAAGCTAAAAGGGCTAAAAGCCTTGTGTATCTGGAAACTTCTGTTGTGTGGAAAACTTCATGCTTGTTTGTATGAGGAGTAACCATAGGGCAAAGCTGAAATAGTCACTGAGAGATGAGTGACAACATTCGATGGTTACTGTGACCTCTTAATAGACCCGGGGCTTTGTTTCATTGTCTCTACAGATTGCTTAACAAACGACAGTGAAGATTTGTCAAATAACACAGAGTATTTCCTCAGCCTATTTAACAAGACTTTGGCCTGCTTTGAGCATAACCTTCAGGTAAGTTATATAAACTTAATGCAGTTAAGAGCACTGTTTGCTCTTCCAAAGGACCCAGGTTCAAATCCCAGCACCCACATGGTGGCTCACAAGCGTCTGTAATGTAATCTCATACTCTCTTCTGTCCTGCAGGCATGCATCCTGGCAGAACATGTATACATAATAAATAGATCTTAAAAAAAAAGAAGGTATTCAGTGGACTCCTAGGAGTGGACTGTCATACTAAAAGTATATGCATTTTTAATTTTAGTAAAAGGAGCTGTAACCCTCCCCCAGGATTCTCTGCTAGGTTCATGGTTTTGGTTAAAGGCACAATCATTGTGTGGAAAGTCTTATATGCTCTTTTTTATAGGAGTTTAGAGGGTAGGCATAGTTTGTCAATAGATGGTAAGGGTCACATTGTAGGGTTTCTACCAGTTCAGTTGCTCTGATTTCTCTTTCATCTCCCTTTGTTCATGCTCCCCAGTAAAGAATATAAAGAGTAGAGAGCAAAGGTAAGTGTGTATCAAAAGACAGGTGTTTGCCTAGAAACCGTAATGGTGCTAGTGGTCCTTTACTGTCATCTCTCTCTCTCTCTCTCTCTCTCTCTCTCTCTCTCTCTCTCTCTCTCACACACACACACACACACACACTCAGGCACACATACACACATATGCATGCACACACATATAAACACACACACACACACACACACTCAGGCACACATGCACACATATGCATGCACACATGCATACAAACACACACACACACTCGGCATTCATTCCAGCTGGGGTGTGGAGGCAGAGTAGACAGATCTTTGTGAGAGCAGGAAAGACAGCTATGCCATTTAAACTATGATGGAGGTCAGACTCAGGGTGGACCAGCAGCCACACGGTAGGGAGGGAGGCTTTGAGAAAGAGTAAGGAAACTAAGATGCCGGTGAAGCCCTAAGTGTAAATGAGAGCGTGTTGGAGACGAGACGGACGAAGGGAAGTTACTCTTTCCTGAGTGACCAGGAGAGCAGGCAGATGTATGCAGCTTTGTGACAGGTACTGGCCAGTTCTCTTGATGCTAGCCATTATGACTGCACGGAGTAGTGGCTTTGATTTGCATTCGCCCAATGGCCATTTTTTCACTTATATTTCTTTTGAGATATGTCAATTTATCTGTCCGTTTATTGATTGGACTATTAGTTCCTTTAGAGTTCAATGATTCTTGTTCTGTGTATATTTCTTGCATTGTCTGTCTGCAGAGATGTCAGTCTCTGCCATTTTGTAGGTCTACTTTTCCTTCTCCAAACTCACCTTTGCTGGGCATGGCTTTGCAGTCCCACACAGTTGCATCTGTGAATTTGTGCTATTCCCTGAGCTGTTAGACCTTTTTTGTTTAGTTGGTTTGTTGGTTTTTGTTTGTTTGTTTTGTTTTGTTTTTTGAGACGGAGTTCCACTGTGTAGCCTTGGCTGTCCTGGAACTCACTCTGTAGACCAGGCTGGCCTTGAACTCAGAGAGTTCCTCCTGAGTGCTGGGGTTAAATGTGTGTACCACCACCAACCAGCATCCATCCATCCTTCTTTCCTTCCTTTGTTTCTAAGAATTATTTTTATATATTTACTTGGGGAATGCATGTGAAGGTCAGAGAATAACTTGCATATAGGTTCCAAGGACTGTACTTGGATCATCAGGCTTAACAGCAAGTACCCTTACCCCCTTACCTATCAGCTGGATTCATTGCCTAGTCTTATAGCTTTATGTTTTCTGCACATTTTTCTCTATTAGTTTCAAAGGTTCAGGTATTAAATTAAGGTCTTCGATCCATTTTTTAGTTGATTTTTGTCATGGCGAGGTGAGAGATCTAGTTTCAGCCTTGACAATTGGATACCCAATTTCTCTGAACACTTTGTTAAAGAAGCCATCTTTTCCCCAGGGTGTGCTGTCTATCTGGTGGCTATGGCTGTGTGGGTTTATTTCTTGGTTCAGTCCAGTGCTTTAACACACCATATTGTTTTCTGTCTGGGCTTGGAGGGAGAGGGTATCTAATGATTGACATGTAGAGATAGCGTGTCCAATATGTACTGTGTGTCTTACATATGCCTTTGTCATTTTAGGGGCACACATACAGTCTTCTCCCACCAAAAAATTACTCTGAAGTGTGCAAAAACTGTAATGATGCCTACAAAACCCTGAGCGCCCTGTATACAGAAATGCAGAAAATGAATGGGCTTGAGAATAAGGCTGAGCCGGGAACGCACTTGTGCATTGATGTGGAAGATGCAGTAAGTACCTCACTTCTGGAGTCATTCGCATTTGCAGTTGTTGGGTTCAGGGCTATTTCTTTGGGGGTGCACAAGAATATACACGTGGCATCTTCAACCAGAAAGAACTGCAGTAGTTATAAAGTAGTGGGTTTTGTGGATCTACATCAGAGCAGGATGGGCATTAGCCAGGTCCCTCATGCATGGGTTAGTGTGGCACTTTTTGACTTTAAAGTAGAAAGTGGGTGTGGTTTTCAGGAGCGTGGTGTTCTTGTGTGCTCGCATTTCAGAGCCTTAAGCAGTTGGTGCTGATTACAGAGGGCTTACGTTCACTGCCATGTTGTCAAAAGACCTCGTTCACTTAATTATTATTATTATTAATAATAGTATTATTATTATTATTATTATTATTCAAGACAGGGTTTCTCTGTGGCTTGGGAGGCTGCCCTGGAACTAGCTGTTATAGACCAGGCTGGCCTCGAACTAACAGAGATCCACCTGCCTCTGCCTCCCGAGTGCTGGGATTAAAGGCATGCGCCACCAACGCCAGGATTCATTCACTTAATTATTGTATTAATTTTTTTCTTTGATTTTCGAAACAGGGGTTCTCTGTGTAGCTTTGGAGCCTGCCCTGGAACTCGCTCTGTAGTCCAGGCTAGCTTCACAGAGGTCTGCCTGACTCTGCACCCTGAGTGCTAGGATTAAAGGCATGCGCCACTGCTGGCCTTGTATTAACTTCTTTTTTTTTTTTTTTTTTTTTTTTTTTGGTTTTTCGAGACAGGGTTTCTCTGTGGCTTTGGAGGCTGTCCTGGAACTAGCTCTTGTAGACCAGGCTGGTCTCGAACTCACAGAGATCCGCTTGCCTCTGCCTCCCAAGTGCTGGGATTAAAGGCGTGCGCCACCAACGCCCGGCATATTAACTTCTTTATATATGTGATAAACTGAAAACATTTCTCATGGTCTGTCGGTCTGTCTCCTCACTGAAATATAAGACACATGAGGACAAAGAACAAGTGTTTCTTTTCTTTCTTTCTTTTTTTTTTGTTTGTTTGTGTTTTGAATCAAAGTTTTTCTGTGTAACAGTTTTGACTGTCCTAGAATTCACGTCTGTAGACCAGGCTGGTCTCAAACTCACAGAGATCTGCTGCTCTGCCTCCCAAGTGCTGGGACTAAAGGTGTGCATCACCGCCACCGCCGCCTGCCCAGGGGATCTAGTATTTCTTAATTCATTGTCTAGCAGGTAGGACAGTGAACAGTACAATGTGTGTGTACTCGCTTTCCTTTCAAAGGAAGTCTTTATGAGGTCCAGGCCAGCCTTGAACTTGAAGTGATCCTCCTGCCCCATCTCCCTAGTACTGGGATTACAGGCACGTGCCACCACACCCAGGGTAGCGTTTTGTGCCACTTTTGTAAATATATGTGGATAGAGTGAATGCTGGGGGATGAGAAAGCCTGTCTTTTCACAGAGCACCACCAGGTGGCAGTCATGCCCCCAGGCAACACGATGCTTGAGAATTAGTTTTTTTGGAAAGCAAATCATTGACTCAAAGTAGTGAACTGAGGATCAAAATGGCTAAGCTTACTTGTTAAGTGTGACTATAAAACCAGCTTAGAGAGAACTGCCCTGGAACTGTAGTGCACAGGAAGTAAAGCCAGCTAACGTGGCTGTTCCTAAAGGGGCTTTGGGTTCCCGCATCTCTGTCCTGGGATGCTGCGCTTGGTTAATAGCAGACACTCAGCAATAAAACTCCAAACAAGGAAACAGAATCTTAACTCATTTGTGTAGCTGTCCATTCTCTGGGAGGCGAAATGGTTGACACTCTGGCATAACTTGGTGATTATTCTGTATTTAGAATGTGATTTTTTTTGGTGGGGGTACAAATTTATACAGTGACTAATTGTAAATCAGCTTCTTTCCCTGGCAGAAGAAAGTAGATCAAGTACCAGTAGATTTTCAAGGTTGTTTTACAAGCTGTGTGGATACATACATATACATATATATTAAAGACAAGTGTAATTTCAGGTAATAATATAACATACGCTTTTCCAGATGAACATTACTCGAAAGCTTTGGAGTCGAACCTTCAACTGCTCGGTCACCTTCAGCGACACGGTGTCTGTAGTCGCTGTCTCCGTGTTCATCCTCTTTCTGCCCGTTGTCTTCTACCTTAGCAGCTTTCTTCACTCGGAGCAAAAGAAACGCAAACTAATTCTACGTAAGTTCCTTTCCGTGGCGTTGGCATCTTTAGTTAACGGCCTGCTACTTAAAAGACCGAGGGGTAAGGAGTTGGGAGCACAGTGTTGAAGCACTTACCTGTATGCACAGGTCCCTGCACACGACATTCGGCGTCATAAAGTAGGGAAAAAAATGTAGATCTGTTTTAGAAATAGCACGGCAAGTGCCCTTACCTGCTAAGCCATCTTTTTTTTTTTTTTTTTTTTTTTTGGTTTTTCGAGACAGGGTTTCTCTGTGGCTTTGGAGGCTGCCCTGGAACTCGCTTGGTAGTCCAGGCTGGTCTTGAACTCACAGAGATCCGCCTGCCTCTGCCTCCCGAGTGCTGGGATTAAAGGCGTGCGCCACCAACGCCCGGCCCTGCTAAGCCATCTTGCTAAACCCATGTGGTCTTTTTTTAGTGGCACTCAGTCAATAAGCTAGAGTGAGGTGAATAATTTAGGTTACTTAACTTTCATTTACTTGTTCCTCCTCATAGGTTTGTCTCCCTTGATTGGATTGTAAAGAACAAGATTTTTTTTCTTGTTTCCCATCATATCACCAGTATCTAGGAAGTGCCTGGCTGTAGTGAGTTCTCACAAACTTCTGTGGAACAAAAGAATGCTGTAGTCTAGTTAATGTTAGTATCATCCCTCAAATACTAGTCCTGTGAAATTTTTGGTGGAAAAAATACTGCATCAAATAATGCCAGGCAGCTCTGCTTTCAGGAGGCAGAGGCGGGTGGGTGATCGGGCTCCAAGCCAGCCTGGTCTACAGAGCGAGCTCTAAGTCAGCCACAGCTTCATGGTCCAACCCTGCCTCAAAAACAAACAATAAACACAACAAAAAACCAAGGCATCCAAACAACGAAACAGAGAAGGGAGGGGAGAAAGCCACGCGTAACAACCCTCCAGACAAACGCTAGTGGGAAGAGGCCATGCGCCGATACTCATGGATATTTCCTCTCCCTTCCCCACTTACCCCCTCCCTCCCTCCCTCCCTCCCTCCCTCCCTCCCTCCCTCCCTCCCTCACAAACTGATGACCTGAGGCTCTGTGTGTGGTTGAGGGATGGTTTTTATTGCAGATGTGAGAGAGGGAACAGCAAAGGCGTCTGAAAGAGTCCAGAGCAGGGAGAGAAAGAAGTAGACATGCCCAGGGCTGTCTGAGGTGGGGAGAATAGCAGGGGACAGAGAATAGAGAAAACACAGTTAGAGAAGCCAAAGCAGAGCAGATGGAGGGAGGGAGGGAGGGAGGGAGGGAGGGAAAGAGTGCACACAGGCTGAACTCATGGCCGTCCCCCTGCCTCAGCTTCCCAAATGATGGTGTTGCAGGTCTGCCCCTTGATGCCTGGCTCATTTACTTTTCATTATGTTACTGTTCAATAAGCAGTTACTGGCTGTTAATCCAAATGCACTGTAATGGAATTCAGTAAAGAAGAAGGTACAGTGTGTGCCTCAGAGTGTGATAGCCCTCACCCACCATTACCTCAGAGTGTGATGACCCTCACCCACATTACCTCAGAGTGTGATAGCCCTCACCCACATTACCTCAGAGTGTGATAGCTCTCACCCACATTACCTCAGAGTGTGATAGCTCTCACCCACATTACCTCAGAGTGTGATAGCTCTCACCCACATTACCTCAGAGTGTGATAGCTCTCACCCACCATTACCTCAGATGTGATGACCCTCACCCACATTACCTCAGAGTGTGATAGCTCTCACCCACATTACCTCAGAGTGTGATAGCCCTCACCCACCATTCCCTCAGAGTGATGGCTCTCACCTACCAATACCTTAGAGAGTGATGGCTCTCACCCACCATTACCTCAGAGTGTGATGACCCTCATCTGATCATTACCTCAGAGTGTGATGACCCTCATCTGATCATTACCTCAGAGTGTGATGACCCTCATCTGATCATTACCTCAGAGTGCAATGACCCTTATCTGAGCATTACCTCAGAGTGTGATGGCTCTCACCCACCCTTACCTCAGAGTGTGATAGCTCTCACCTGATCATTACGGCTGTGCAGAGGTAGAGACACATAGTGTGACTGCATCATAGAGTTAGTAGCTTTGGAACTCACTGATAGGTGTCCTTTGGGTAGGAGTTTAGAAGATGTGAGGACTTACCAACTAGACTGGAGAGGCCAGCAAGTTTCAGGTACACAGATTTCCTGGTCTTACTGCCTTGCCAGTTTATTAAGTAATTTGATAATTAGTGAGAAGCAGTTTTTAGTAAAGTAAGTAGAACCCAAGCCAAAACAAAAACCTGAGCTACACATTCACTTTCCAGATCCATCCCTGGCTTAGTACACTATAAGCCGCCTACTGGTCGGGAAAGCCAAGCTAGAGTGTTATTCCTGTCGTTGGCTGTGAGACTTGTGTGCAGGACTTGAACAGGGCACGGGAATAGAGGTGCCAGGGCCCCGCCACAGCCCTGCAAACCTTCGAGGCCAGCGATTCTCAGATCTCAGCGTGTGTCATTCCCACCGTGGCCCTGTGGGTTCTCACTTCTACATCATGAGAGACATTTGCACTCAGCTGTCCACAATTCCTTACCAAGCCAGGCAGCCATGACTGTTTTAAACTGGTGGCTTGGTCCTATGAGCATCACAGCAGTCACAGCTGGTTGTCACACATCTTGTTAATGGTGTATATGTTTGTGTGTGTACGTGTGACACACAACTCAGTTTTCTTTTTCAGTCTGGTTTTTCAAGACAGGGTTTCTCTGTAGCTTTGGAGCCTGTCCTGGAACTCGCTCTGTAGACAAGGCTGGCCTTGAACTCACAGAGATCCGCCTGCCTCTGTCTCCCGAGTGCTGGGATTAAAGGCGAGCACCATCACCGCCCAGGATTTTTTTTAATGTGAAAACAGAGGAAATGTTCCTTCTTTCTGTATGCAAACTTTTCCTTTTCTTGTTTCACTGTGTTGTACTGATTACATTAGTGTATGGTGCTCAGTAAGTGGGTGTTGTCTTGTTCTAGATCTTAGGAGAAATTCCTCAGGCTTCATAATGAAACATGTGCTGTAGAAGCTTTATAGAAACCTTGTCTTTTGAGGGTGTTTAGAGTGGGGTTTCTAGCTTGGACTTTTATTGTGTTCTTTATCTACACATTTAAGATTGCAGTGTTCAAGGTGTGGATGCCTGTTTTATTCCGTACTGCTTTTAACAAAGTCATGGGTAATTTCTACTTAGCTTAATTTTATGTTGCTCATAAAGGGAAAAAAACCACATTAGGTTTAACTCTAAGGAAACTGGATCAGGTCAGATTCAGCCAATAAATAGACAGACACAGTGGTTTGAGGGTAGGTACTGGATGAGCCCATGAGAGTTGAAACACATTAACTTGTGTCTCTCCAGCCAAACGCCTCAAGTCAAGTACCAGTTTTGCCAACATTCAAGAAAATTCCACCTGAAACCTGCAAAATGGAGACCGAACCTCCCCTCGAGTGAGTGAGTGGTTGGCCCACCACAGGCAGAAGATGAACCAGGATCTAACAAATTACCTTCTTATGGAATGCCAGGACTGCAGATTTGTAATTTATTCGAATGGCAGTCTTCAAATTTCCTCTTCCTGTGCACCCATTTTTAAAGATTTCTGTATTTTTACTCTTTAGACACAGCAATGTCACTTATTTTAAGGTATGTTGTTTCTACCGGCATGTGACTACTTGACACTTGCGATATCTCCTCATTGCAGCTGAAGACTTCCATTTGCATGTTAGTCACTGCCAGCAAGCTTGAGATAGAAATATACTTGCCAAATGGTAGCAGACCCGAGGATTAACTTAAATGACTTCCCATTGCAGTATTATTGCTTATGTATACATACACATATTTAATATATGATATAGTAAAATAGTGTACTCTCTAGTTTCCCCGAAGTCATTTTTGAAACCACTAATTATAAACTTCCTTAACAATTTTCAGAAGGGATGAGCCACATTGTACATTTATCTTTGTTAAAAGATTTATGGTAACTGGTTTTCTTACACAACTTTTATAAATAGTATTTTACATCTTATTTTTGCCTTTATTTCATAAATAATTTAAAAATCACTGGACTGCTTTATTAGCTTCAGGATACAATGGATTCACTTTATGCCACGGATTTGCATTGTGAATTTCATTAAATTATTTGGCAACTTGTAACTTATTCTTTAAATGAAATGTAGCACAAGTGTGTCCCACTGTATTTAAATTGTGGTTTTTAATGGAAATTTCATCTTGGAATATTTGGAGAGTTGGGGAGAGATGAAAGGAGAACACGGGAGCTTAAAGAGCAGGGAGCGGACAGAGACGAGCGGACAGTCACCAAGAAGGGCGCTGCATAGCTTGTGTTGGAGGTGAACTGGGTGAGTCTCACACAGAAAGTACTGCAGTTAAGGTGGTGTCGCTTCCAATTATGTAAATGATGACTAAAGCAATATGACTGAAATGAAATTACACATTTCCCGTCAGAAAACAAGTCTACTTTGGAATATTTTCAGCAGCTTTAAAACAATGTTTTGTTTTCAAGATCATTCAGTTTTATTTCTCAGGATATAGGAGTTGATGATTTTGTTTGTCAATTCTTTTTTTTTTTTTTTTTTTTTTTTTTGGTTTTTCGAGACAGGGTTTCTCTGTAGCTTTGGAGGCTGTCCTGGAACTCGCTCTGTAGACCAGGCTGGCCTTGAACTCACAGAGATCCGCCTGCCTCTGCCTCCCGAGTGCTGGGATTAAAGGCGTGCGCCACCACTGCCTGACAAGCTTCTTCTTCAGTGCTTTTTCCATGGAGTCCTGGTATCCTCTTGGAATACCGGTGACATGGACCAGCTTTTCTGGTCTGCTGTGATCTGTGTTGTCTGTGGTTTGTTGTGTGGTCACTGTTCCTGCTCTGTTACTAAGGACACTGTCTGCATCTGAAGCCCAAGGTTGAGGGCCATTGAAAGCAATCTTCATTAATGCACATAAAACCAGCTTCCCTGTGCAGAGTTAGCAAAGTGACGTATTTGAATTGAGCGGTGACTCCTTGAGCACCTTTCAACACTGCGTGTGCTTTTGGATAAAAAGCTAATGAGCACCTTAACAATGCAGCCTTTGCCGTTTTCTCCTAAGGTCTCTGCTCTCTGCAAGTCGCATCAGAAATAGACTCGAAAACTGTATGTTAAGTGTTCTACTGAGTGTAGAAGAATTTCATCTTATGGTCATATGAAAAGTGTGCGTAGTTCTGAGTTCTGAGACACATATGTAGTGTGTATGCACAAGAAGACCTTTATGCTTTACAATAAAGAAAATATCAAGGAAATTAAAGTGCTTTAGTGGATTTTTATAATAATTTTTTTATTTAACTTTTTACACATGTTATTCCCAGCTCCCTCTCCCTCCCCTCCTTCCCCACCCCCACAACCCTCCCAGTCCTCCACTCCATCCCCACTCTGCTCCCCAGGGGGGTAAGGCTGTAATGGACTTTTTATTCTCTTAATTTATTATTATTATTATTGAGACAGGGTCTCACTGTGTAGCCCTGAATGTCCTGAACTCACTCTGTAGACCAAGCTGGTCTTGAACTCACAGAGGTCTGCCTGCCTCTGTCTCCCAAGTGCTGGGATTAAAGGCACACACCACTACAACCAACTATTTTTCGGTTAGGTCATTTAAACAACTTGAGATATAACATCACTCCTTAGTTTTTCTAGTTTAGTGTTTTGTTACTTGTTTAATAATTTTACTGCAAATAAAGTACACCTTGGAATTTTTGGTGCTGAATTTGGGAGGTAAAAATAACATTTTTCAGAGTCTGACATGTACTTTCTAAAATCCATGTGGTGATAGATGAAGGTTGATCTTGAGGCCTTTCATGTGCTGAGCAAGTTTCTGTAACTAAGCCCCACTCTAACCCTGGAATTCAACTCTTAAGTCAGTGAATACCTGAGAATTTAGTTGGTAAATGTCACCCTTTTTATAGACAGCATTTTCTTGTGTCTCTTGGAAGTGCTGTAGTTTTTAAATTTTTATTCTTAATGTACATTAAAAAATCTATTTTGTGGGGGCCTGGGAGAGATGGGTGTCACAGCATGCTTGGAGGCCAGAGGACAACTTATAGGTTTTCTTCCACCATGTGGGTTCTGGGCCTTGAAGTCAGGGCATCAGGTGTGGTGACCAGTGCCTTTACCTGCTGAGCCATCTTGCTGGCCCTAACAGACTCCTCTAAATTGAGACTTTCATAAATGCATATAATCTGTTTTGATCAAATCCACCCCCTATTACCATTACCTCTTCTGCCCCCTCCCCCACTTTCCCTCACAGCATCATTCGCCCTTTTTTCCTCCCTGAAACCCAGTGAGTCCATGCCGTGTTGCCAGGATGTGAGTGGAGGTAAGACCATCTACAGGGCACGGGGAGCCAAGGCTGGCCCTTACATGGTGCTGTAGCCACGGGGAGCCAAGGCTGGCCCTTACATGGTGCTATAGCCACGGGGAGCCAAGGCTGGCCCTTACATGGTGCTGTAGCCGCGGGGAGCCAAGGCTGGCCCTTACATGGTGCTGTAGCCATGGGGAGCCAAGGCTGGCCCTTACATGGTGCTGTAGCCGCGGGGAGCCAAGGCTGACCCTTACATGATGCTGTAGCCGCGGGGAGCCAAGGCTGGCCCTTACATGGGTGCTGAGCACTGGACTTCTGTCTTCTCACTTTAAGGCCAGGTGTCTTAGCCACTGAAGTGTCTTCCCAGGTCCCCCCCCTTCATATTAGAAAGGAAGACTGGGAGGGAGGGAGAAAAGAAAGAAGGAAGGAAAGGAAAGGAAGGGAGGGAGGGAGGGAGGGAGGGAGGACTTAGAGCTAGAGATGTGACTCGGTGGTGAAGAATGCTTGTTGCTCTTGCAGAGGACTGAGGTTCAGTTCCCAGCACCCACATGGTGGCTCACAGCTGCCTATAACTCTAGTTCTAAAGGATTTGATACCCTCTTCTGACCTCAGATGACTCCAGACATACATATGGTGCACATAAATGCGTGCAGGCCAAATTTTTAAGACTTTACTTTTATTTTTAATATTTTTTTTGGTTTTTCAAGACAGGGTTTCTCTGTGGCTTTGGAAGCTGTCCTGGAACTCGCTTGCTAGTCCAGGCTGGTCTCGAACTCACAGAGATCCGCCTGCCTCTGCCTCCCGAGTGCTGGGATTAAAGGCGTGTGCCGTCAACGCCCGGCTCTTATTTCAAATTTTTAATTATGTGTGTGTGTGTCTGTGTGTGTGTGTGTGTGTGTGTGTCTGTGTGTGTGTGTCTGTGTGTGTGTCTGTGTGTGTGTCTGTGTGTCTGTGTGCGGATATGTGCCTATGAGTACAGGTCAAAGTCAATAGATCCTGGAGCTGCTCAGAATGGGTGCCAGGAACCAAACTCAGGTCCTCTGGGTAATCAGTCAATGCTCTTAACTGCTGAGCCATCTCTCTAACCCCACTTCCTCCCTTATATTTCTTAAGGATGTAAATTGCCATATGGTCAAAAAGAACCAAGAACTTTGAAATCATACCTAACTTTAAACTCCTACTTTCCCCCTTATTTAAACAAACAACTTAATTCTCTGATCCTCAATTTCCACATCTGTGAAATGGGAGATAATGCCAGCATGGTGTCACAGGCCTTTAATCCCAGCTCTTGGGAGGCAAAGTCAGGAGGATATCTGAGAGTTCGAGGCCAGCCTCATCTACAGAGTGAGTTCCAGGACAGTCAAGACTACATAGTGAGAATCTGTCTTAAAAAAAGAAAGAAATGAGAGGTAATGACAAAGGTTATTGTGCAAATTAGGTAAGGTTAAATATACAAATACTATGTAAGTACCCGACAGTGCTCAGTAATGCCCAAGAAGCACTTGTCCGTGGTTTCCTTTGAGGTACACTCTGTGCACAAACTGCCCCACACAACTGGGCTTTTCTTTCCCTTCTTGTTTGAGATGGGGTCTCACAATGCAGTCTCTATGCAGACCAGATCCATCTGTCTGCCTCTACCTTTGCATGCTGGGCTTTGATTCTTGACAAGCATGCATACACACACACACACACACACACACACACACACACACACACACACACACACACACACCCCTCGGACTGCTTCCCAGAGTGTTTATCTTTGTGATTAGGTTATCTCCTGGCTATATAATAACATCCTCCACTTTAGGGACTTTATTTCCTTTGTCTTTTTTGCCGTCAGTTGGATGAATGGACTTGGAGTCAGTGTAATGGCTATTTAATGGAAGATGACAAACTGTCATTGTTCAAATGTATTGTATTATGCTGTGAAATGTCTCTGTAGCAGGCTCATGTAAGACAGTGGTTCTCAACCTTCCTAAAGCTGTGACCTTTTAATACAGTTCTCTGTGTTGGGGTGACCCCAACTATAAAATTGTCTCCCTGCTGCCTCCTAACTGTAATTCTGCTACTGTTATAAATCGTACTGCACATATTTGATATAGGGGATCTTTGATACTCACCCCCAAAGGGGTAGAGAACCACAGGTTGAAAACTGCTGATGTAAAGGATGTTTAGGGTTCTTGAAAAGCATAAATGGTAGAAGTGTAGCTTTGCAATAGAAAGCGGGATATGCTACCTCGCATTAGGGAGCCTTCCCCTTCTACACCAAAAAATGCAGGCTTCAGCAATTGCCAGTTATCATGTGTTGCTGCACTTAAAACTAGCATCCTAAATCAGGTGTAATACTTCTCAGAGTCCCCCCACCTTATCGCTGCTAAACGAGTGTTGATTAGATCCAACTGCTGAAAAATACCAAGTTATAGCAGACGGTTAGAAAGAAATCGACATGATGCCCAGAGCTGGCTTAATTCATCTTTCCTCTTTAGTAATCTCACACATTACCTGCATATTTGCTGTAATGAACATGCCATTCAGCTAAAATGAGATTAACTGCTTAAACCTCGGCATTGCAGGCAGAGAACACTAATGCTGCTTTGTGTTTCACTAGAAGTTTCAGCAGTTAAATGATATGGCCTTGTCACTCCTTCCTTTGTAATCAAGACGGTTTCATTCAGGATTAGCGCTCTGCAGCTGATGCTCCCCAAGGGACACCTGAAGCAGCAAATTGATGCCCCGGGTGCCGTCTGGCAGTGCGAACCACCCCAGAATAGAGCCCAGTGACCCCAATAACTCTTAAATTGTGCTCCTCTTTGTGGGCTCTGCTCTGCTCTAATGCTGATGGAAGATGTGCCCCCCATGCAGTTGAGGGGAGGAGAACTTGGGCATATATCTGGACAATAGCACTGGGATACCTCAGATGAATCAGGGCCCAGAAAATCAGCACAAGCCTCCTACCACCCAAACACACACACACACACATACACACACACACACACACACACACACACACACACACACACACGCATGCACGCACGCACGCACACCCAAATTTGGAGGCTGGACCCTTCCCTCCTGGCCTTGGGGACTGAGGTGCTGCCTCCAAGGGGTGTATACCTTGAGATGTCCAAGGCCCAGGGTGTACTTTCTGTAGGCACACTGCAAGAGAGAATGGGTGCATCAAAAGAAAACCAGCAAGCACCTATCTGAGGGAGCCTCTATCGATAAGTCATGCTTTTATTTCAATGACATCTGGCTCTGGTTCTGTTGAGATCCCATTTGGGGACAGTGAGGTGTCTGACAAGACACATGAGCTCCTGTCCAGGGCACTAGTGAGACATCACATTGCTCACCTAGTTCTTGATCCCCCGTGTCTTGTTCTGTGTTTAAAGTCTCCATTTTACAGGACCCTCAGGAGGTGACACAGGAACACTCTGGACCTCATTGTTTGGATAATGGGAGCAGAGATAGAAATCCATCAGGCCCAATTAAATGTATGAATGAAGGTGCCACCACATATTTTGCTTTTGACTGGTCTCTTCTGACTGTGTGAATGCTCTGTGTTTATTGGTTTCATTTTTGCTGTCTCCATCCCTTGGATGTGTTTCTGTGCCCCCAATTATCTTTTCCAGTTAGAGGCAGACATGAGAACCTGAGGGACAGGCAAGGGACAGAATGAGGGAGCATGTGCATTTGGGGCATGCATACACTCCTTGCTAGCATGTCCCTCAGCTTCCTCCTGCAGTGGCCTCCGTCTATAGCTATGACTTTTGCTGACACGCTAGCAGAAGCTGTCCCCAAGCCGCTGGGGAGATGCGGGTACCACCTCCAGCATGTCACCTTGGGTAGCCACCACTGCTGGCTACAGCTCCCACTGATAGCCAGGGTTGAAAGTATCTTATCTCTGAGCTCTCTTTGTTATCAGCTTGCTGTGGTCTCTTCCCT